AGAGAGAGAGAGAGAGAGAGAGAGAGAGAGAGAGAGAGAGAGAGAGAGAGAGAGAATCTCTGGCAATGAAAAGTCATAGCACAAAGCTCAACATAGGGAGACATCTGACCAAAGGGTAACCAAAGGGCAACCAGTAACGGACAACCCCAAGTTCTTTGTGATATGATGTGATATGATGCCTCAGAACCAGTCACTCTGGCACTGTACCTGGGGTACTGCCTGGAGTGCACTGGCTGTGAATAAGAGCGTGAGAGCCAGGGAGCTGGGGAAGACAAGTGGTTCACGATGGTGGACGCTCAGGTGCTCCTCATGGCGGAGATTGTGAGCATCAATCCACCTCCAGGAGAAAGTAAAACTGCTTCAAACCCGAGGGAGGCAGCTTGTGGAGGTATGTACAGGCATGGCCACCAAGAGCTGGTTTTACAGGCATGGGCCATGGTGGGCCAATTTTTAAAAAGACACACAAGATGAGTTTTCCTCTTTGAAAAAAAATATCAAATTTGATTTCAGATGTTTTGGGGGAGGGGGGGGCGGTTGGCTCCCTCAAAGAAATTTCAATAAGCTGAAAGTTTTATTTCATAGGCAAGCTCTTCTCCAAATCTTTGTTCCCGCTGATCACTTTAATGGTGGACGTTTCTCTGTGTTAGGTGTCTTTAGAGGTATGAGAGCTCTAAGTGTTGGTGAAGTTTTGCCTTCTAAAACATGAGGTGGTAGCCACCCTTGAGGACATGGACCGTGTGTCCCTAGAATGATCCTAAACAGCCCTTGAATGAAGCTGTGTGCACTGAGATGTTTAATAAAGCTGGTTAGGAGAGGGAAGAGCAACAGTTCCTATCCCAGGCTGCACACCCAGGAGTTACTCACCTGCTGGCAGTGACACACAGGTGTCACCAAAGACACCGCTTCCCAGCCACACGCCCCAGAACATTTGCAACCGTGCTGATGGGTCATGCTCCTGCACCTCTATGCAAACAGGGACATGGTGACCAGAGCCCCTGGGCCCAGCCTCTGTTCACTGCACCATGACACCTCAGTAATGAAGAAGACACCCAGTGCAAACCTCTGGTCTCTACACACAGATGCATGTGTGCTCACACACACACATGCACATACACATGAATACATACACACATAAACACACCCAAAAAATGTTCCATGCCCTAGTTAGTATAGTCATTTGTTCTTTGCTCTGTCATTCAGAAATTAAAATGCATAGGATGATCATCACTCGTTAATCTATTTAACAACATTCTGAGCACCTACCATCCATCTACCAGATGTGTGATAGATAGTGGCAGTGTTGGAGGAAATCAAGTGTCTCGCCAGTCAAGGACTCTGCTTAAGGCCCAGCTCGGTAAGAGTCTGTGCAAGCAGGCGGGAAATTGTAGCTGTTCCCGGAGGAGAAGAGACCATCCTGCCTGGAGCAGAGGAGTCCAGTACCATCAGCGGGAAGTGCCCTCCCTGAGGACGCCTCTAGTGTGTGGACAGCTACAATTCCTTCCAGAGTGTTTCATAAGCACTATCTGATTCTGTTAGAGTATAGGAAAGAAATGGGAGATTAGACTCCGAGATATCTGTCATCATTTACAGGTCGGGTTGAGAAGGTCGGCCCTCCAGGGGCTGTCTATTTCTTTCTGGAAGAATTACATCCTGCAATTAAGGAAAGTGTCAATGAGGTTACACACGATTTGCAAAATGCCGGGCAGAAAGTAATGACTTCTGCATCCCAGCCAGTGTTTCCATTTCTTCTTTCTACTACACGGATGGTACATCTCATTTCTACAACAGCAGACACCTGTGGTCTCGATGCTCTCCACATTCCTGGAATCTGCTCAGAGCGTTCTGAAAACGCTTCCTAGGGGCTGAGAGTAATTCACACTGACTTTTTCTCTGAGTGTTTCCAAGCCTTTGGAAGTTGGTTGTTTCACTTTCAGGCTTCCCTGGAGCATCCCTTTCCATCTCTCACTCTTAGCTCTTGGCTGGTCCAGCTGAGGGCTGTGGACCACAGGCTGCTCCTTCGGTATCACCTATGTGAGAGGGGTCCTTCTGGCTTTCGCTTTGTTGTGATCGGGCCATCAACTCTATTAGACACAGTAATAGGTGGCCCTGACCCACTTTCCCGACTCTGCCCCAGTACAGAATCTGAGTTACTAAACACAAGAATCCAGGTCATCATGGACTCTGCCTGGTGGATGAGATCAGCCTCAGTCCCACTAGGCATTCCCCAGCTACCCACCCCCAAAACCTCTATCCACATCTACATCCATTCCTCTGGTTGTTTAGCTTCTAAAATTGAGCATCTTAAGAAAAACTGTCCTTTTCATATGTTGCCTTAGTTTATTAAACAGATGCATCCTCTTTGTATGTATGAAAATACACAGGTTAGTGTGTGGCATACAAATATTCCTCCAGCATCAAGGAGCATCGCCTACTGTTCTCTAGATTCTGGGTCTTCTTGGCTGCACAGCTTGGCTCTTGCAGATGCAGACCAGGTGCCTTACTGACTTGTCTCTTCTTGCCCCCGCTAGGTGGCAGTGGAGAGCAGTCACACGGAGCAGGCCAGTGGAAGGCAGAGGAGGGCTCTGAGACTGTGCTCCCAAGACGGAGAAGCGTGTTCCACATCGAGTGGTCGTCCATCCGGAGGAGGAGCAAAGGTGTGTACGTTCTCTACCTCCCACTCAGACCCCAGCTTCCTACCTCAAAGCAGGCCACAGTAATATCTACACAGTGGCAGTACCCACTGCACAGTGGTCCTTTTAATAGATGGCCACGGACCAAAGCCACAGGTTTCCCCGTTTCTGAACACGCATTGCCTGATGGGGAAATAATCCAGAACAAATGTGATGGGCTTTGACAAAGGTCTCAGTTTGGCTCTGGAATTACCTGCAACCCCTTTCCCAAAGATTCAAATTTAACCTATCAGGAATACAGCCTGGGCCAGCAACCAGATCTTTTAGAGCTCTTCAAGAGATTCAAATGTGCCACCAATTCCTAAAACATTGGTCATGCCACACATAGTTACAGTCATAGCCTCCAACCTCAGCACTCCAGAGGTTAAGGCAGAAGGATAGCCAGGTGGGCTATGTATGGAAACCCTCTCAAACCAAAGAATCCAAAGTCCACCGCTTCAGAAGGCTAATGAAAAGTTCCCACCATGACAGTGACCGAGGTGAGAGAGCCAACGTAGGGGAGAGTTGTGGAGAGGGGTCCTCCACAGGCCAGAAGGGGACCCCAGAAGGAGGCCAGAGATGAGTGAAGGAGGATACCAGAAACTTGAACCCATAAACCGAGGTCAGGTTCTAGCAAAACTCGACGATCCTGGAGAGACAGTCCTCGTCAGCGGAGGGACAGAGAAGCCTCTGAACAGGAAATAGTGTGCTTTGACCCCACCACAGCGCCCCAAAGGAAGCCGAAGAGCCTTGGTTACACATGACCAGCTGGTTATCCTGGGGCACTGCACTGGGTAGAAGAGACCCCTGCGTTGGTGCCCCCTGGTGTCACACGCTCCCAGAAGCCATCTCGGTGCCTGACTGTCTTTCCATAATTTGTCCGATTTCATCCATTTATACCTAAAGTCAGCCAAGTTAGAGCGAAGGACTTAGCGTGGTTATGGGGAATCCTGCAAGTAGAGAGAGAGCCCTGTACATGGGGGCGCAGGGGAGTGCATCCTCGTGCAAAGAGGCCTGGGATGGGGAAGTCTGTGGGACTCACTGAAGCCTGGCAGGCTGCTCCAGACAGATGCAGAGGGTCAGAGCGTGGCTCAGAGGGGAGGCCACACATGCAAGCCTCAAGTTCAGGTACATTTTCTCTGTTTCCTACACTGTTGTTCGTGGTCCCTGCTTCTTCACAAGCGGGGACAGGGTGCCTTCCGGTACATCCCTTGTAGTTTTTCCTAAGGGGAACAGCAGACTGCTAACAGGAAGGCAGAACCCAGCCTGCCGTTCTCACACTTGACCACAGGAGGGCACCAGAGTACCAAGTCCAAACTTCAAAGGGCCTGATCTTTCCGGAGAGGACTTGACTGAAAAAAGGTCATCCTTAAAAATGAGCCAGCCTAATAATGGAAGGTGTTTAGAGTCACATGACGAGAGCTCTGTAGAATTACAAGGACACACGGGCATCTCAAAACCTACTTAAAGTGACTACAGGGATATTATGCTAAAATTCAAAGACAAAAAAAAATTATTAAAGCATTTTCCTTATTTTCTGGGTTTAATTAGTGTTTCTTGCCCAAGCATGGTGTGAGGTTATTTACTATAGGAACAGAAACTTATCAGTGGCTAGACACAGCATAACTGCGTGACCACCATTATGTTAAAAATAGACATTGTCATAGCCAGGCATGGTGGCACTCACCTTTAATCCCAGCACTTGGGAGGCAGAAGTAGATGGTTTCTATGAGTTCCCGACCAGCCAGGCTACATAGTGAGACCTCATCTCAAAAATAAAAATAAATACCGTAATCAAAAAACGGGAAGGGGGAGTGGAATAATTTTCAAATCATCTGCCTGAGGAGAATCATTGCCAAGTTCAAACTCAGGTTGCCCATGACTTTATGAGGAAAAGGCAAAGGACTCCAACATCCCAGATCCTTTCTTTCAAAACATTTTTGTTGGGACTGGAGAGGTGGCTCAGTGAATAAGATCCGCTTGCAAAGGACCCAGGTTTGATTCCCAACACACACACAGTGGCTCACAGCCACCTGGAACTATGGTCCTCATGGATCCAGTGTCCTCTTCAGGCCTGTGGGCACCAGGCACATATGTGGTGCACACCTATGTTTACAAGCAAAGCACTCACACATCGAATGAATGAATATCTAAAGTGTTCTCTTCGTTGAGAATTTCATGATGTATTTTGATCATCTCTCCCCCACTACTCCACATCCTAACTACTCACTTCCCACCCAGGTCCCCTTTCCACACTATACCCCCCAACTTCATGTCCTCTTTTCTTTTTCTTTATATAACCCATCAATATATAACCAATGTGTGCTGCCCATGTACTCCTGGGTATGGGGCCAGCCGCTGGAGTGTGGTTGACTGACCAGGGGCTGTACTCTTACAGAAAACTGATTCTCTTGCTCCCAGAAACCCTCAACTGTCCATAGCTCCTCATTTAGGGGCAGGGGCCCATACCCCTATGTGCTCGAATGTTGATGGGCTTGGTCTCGTGTTGGCTGCTGTTGGTTTATGAGTGTAACGGTTCTGCCATGTCCAGAAGGCCCCAATTCTCCCCAACCTCTGGCTTTTATAACCTTCCCGCCCTTTCTTCCTAATGGTCCCCAAGTCCTGGGGGAGTGATGTGAGATACACATGTCCCACTTGTGGTGAAGCAGTCAACTGGCACTTATCCTGTGCATCTGCCACTGTCCACTCCACCCCCTGTCTCTTCTCGTGCACCTACAAGTCTCTGTGTGATACAGAGATCACAGAGAAGCCACTGTCCCCCCGGGAGGCAAATACAGAGGTCAAACTGAGTAGAGACATCTTCATTAAGGGCCACTGGGGTCTCAGAACCTCCTACATCCCTTCATATTCTGTTTTCATGATGATGTGGAGTTTTCCCCAAAGAGAGATGCCCCAATGGGCCTGGCCAACAAAGGAAAAGAAGGAGTCTTATCCATAAGTGCCGGGGACCAGCCTCAGCAGTTTCGGGGGTCTAAAGGTATCCGATGGGATACCTGGAAAGCGCAATAACGACTCAGAGACAATGTTCATGCAAGCTGACAGGTCACTTCGGGCTTCTGCAGTTGCTAAGTTTCTTTTTTTCTCCTGGCTTCTCTTAGCTTCTGCTTCTGCCCTGGTGACCTCAGTCTTTTATTATCATGAGAAAAGGGGGAACAGAAAGAAAATGGGAAATCACCCAATACAAAATGTTCTCGTGATTCCAAAAATTATTCTTAGAAAATCACCAATATATTCTTCATCATCTTTTACTAAACACAGGAACTATCCCAGACTAACACCAAAGCAAGCATAATCTATTTTTATTATTAATGATTATAAAATCTTCTGAGCACTTGATCCAAAGGCTAGCAACATGCGATTTCACAAAAAAAGGTAAAAATCCGAACAGTGGTCAATGTACCAGACAGTCATTTTCTTCTCACACAGTCTGCTCCAACCTCAAGACCCCTGTAGCTGCCTAAGTTCCCCCTCAGCCCTCTGCAAACACCAAGCCCCATGACTGGTGGGCTACAATGACCTCAGACAAGAAATCTGTCCCTGCAAGTCAGCTACTTCTGTCCTTCTATATCCAACAATTCCAAGGAAGACTTAATCTAATTTATAGAGCTTCTAGGAAAGGAAGCTCACCTTTCTTGGCAGCTCTTTTCAATCTAGGAACCCAATAAAGCTTGTAGCAATCACCCCATCAATTGTCACATTATCTCCACACTCCTTCAGGAGGAATAAAAAATATCTGAATTAAAGTTGCCATCTCCCTTTCTTGGTGGAGACCACCATTTTACTCCTATTATAGGTTCCCACACTTTAGTTTGTCATCCCATCTATGTGTTACTCCATCCACAGTCCTCAGCCAATACCCCTTAGGGTCTCACGTTTTACACAATGTCCTTAGAATATCCTCAGAAACTGAATTATTCATCAGGGCCAATTTGAGTCCAGTGTGTTGATACACATCACACCATGTGCTATAGTTGACCACACATTCAGTACAGTTTATCCAAGCCTAAAAAGCTTCCCCAGGCTGCAGGTTCTTTTCCATGACCTGCATAACTGCTTTAACCCCAACCTGGGTGATCATCTCTGTATAATTCCCTGTGAAATTTACTTCACTCCTTTCCTGCATCACAGAAATCACCATTGATCTAGGAACACAGAGCATGAAGATCAGATAGAAGAAGAAGACTAGTATTACAAGAAATATTTACATGGAGAAGGACATGACATGTGCACGCCATAAAGCATGACGTTGAGACACATAGGCATTTCTGCCTTGGCCCTCTAGAGGCATGCTAAGCAGAGGATCCCGAGAGGAACACACAGAGGGTTGATGGTCCACAATCTCGGGTCCCCTTTTCTCCAATCTCAGATGGCAACACGTCAGCCACCTTATATGCCGTCCCCAGCACATAAGAGTTCGTGGTTTTATGCTTCTCCGTGGAATAGAGGATACCAAACGGTCTAACCTAAGTCTTTGGAGAAATTACTGTCAAAGTGCCAAAATACAGGCATCTGAACTGATGGCTCTCTCTTTCTTTCCAATTCCAGTGTTTGGAAAAGGTGACCACCAAGACAGACAAACCAAAGAGCCACTTCCCTACCCATATAGGAAGCCCACAGTGGAACTATTTGTGAGTATGGCGACCCCAGACCAGGGACAGCACCCTGCAGGCCACACAGGGTGGGGAGTTGCAGTCTGTCAAGGATGCTCTAATTTAGGCAAACATCTCTTGAGTTGTGTTTTCAGAAATGTAGCCACGTGAATAAAAAATGTCTATTTTTCACAGTTTGCTTTGTGAGCTACCATACCTTTTCATTGCATTATTTATCCTCAGTTTGCATTTAGGAAATAAGATTGTGCTAGGGTTTTTCTAAGAATCTTTATGTGTTTAATCTCATACCTTTGTGTTTAAAATTCAAAAACTAGAATGCTAAGTAGGGAAATAATTTCTTTTAGAAAGTATGTAAGACAGTGATTTTTAAGAAAATCAAGACATGTGTGTCTAAATCTTCATTCTCCTATATCATTTGACCCTTGCAACATGAACTTCTGCACGCCTAAGTCCTCATCCACAGAACAAGGGTGAAGAGACCGCCTCATCCTACCTCATTGAGGTTGAACACTATCAAATTAGATGATGTGTCCAACAAAACAACCTAGAGAGAGATAGTTAAACAGCAGTTTAACAAAATCTCAAGTGAAAATCTTGGTTTGGTCCTCCAAGTGACTTCAAATGTCACCTGGTGTGAAAATTCCAAAACTGTAGAAGATTCTTACCTATTTCTGGCCCCCGGCAGGATCTGGACACCATGGAGGAAAGCTCTGAGATCAAGGCGGAAGCCAGCCCGGCCAGGACTTCCTGGATTCGGAGCTCTATGGCCGCTGGAGGGAAGAGACTCAGCAAAGCCTTGGGCTACATCACAGGAGAGATGAAGGAATGTGGGGAGGGACTGAAAGGTATGGTCTGTGACGTTAGCCACTGACAGCCCCCAAAGCGTCTGTCTTACTCACCCCCAAAAAAAACATGATGTGGGGCTTCTCTGCAGACCAGTTGGAGATCTCTTTTAGGGGGCCTCTTCTACCATGAAAGCAGAGGGTCTCTTGGGATAGAAACACCCACATTTGCAACTGTTCTGTAAGGATATCGGATAGTTGTGTGAGGTCTTGTTACTGAACAGAAAAGTTCTGCTGACCCACATATACCAACTAAATATTACAGACAAGCACTGGGATTCTGAATCCGGCATTCTAGGCAGATCTGTGCTGGGCGGCTTAGGGAAACGTGTCTACTAGGGCAGAGGGTTCTCTGCTCATGGGTGTTATACCCTCTCTGTGCCAAGAGAATTTTCTGGAAATTTATATGCCACTCCCACGGGAAGCATAATCAAGCTCAAAGTAGGTACCTGATCCCCGCCCTGGGAGAAACAGCCTAGAGACTAGTAGAGACTGCATTGGGCTAGCAATGGCTGGCAAGTGCTCTGGGCATTCAAATGCACCCCTGCGTTCTTTGTATAGACTCCCCTCTGACTGATGAAAATGCATGCCGGTCCCCTGAAGACCCCTACCCCCACTGCCACCTGTGACCTAGCCCAGGCCTGAGCTGCTCTGAGCATCTGCTGACTCCCCCTCCCCCCTTATCATTTCAGACAAATCTCCAGTGTTCCAGTTCCTTGACTGGGTGCTCCGAGGCATGTCCCAGGTGATGTTCGTGAACAACCCTCTCAGTGGCGTCCTCATCGCCCTTGGCCTCTTCGTGCAGAATCCCTGGTGGGCCATCTCGGGTTGCTTGGGCACCATCGTGTCCACCTTGACGGCCCTCATCCTGAGCCAGGATAAGTAAGTCCCCAAGGCCTAGCGTTCCAGCATAAGGCCAAGAGACCACTCCCTAGGAGCACCATCGTCTCCTTCCGACCCTCTAGCCCAAACTCCGCAAAACAATGACACTACTAACTAGACGCTCCTCTTCTTTGGCAGAAAAGGGTGGATAGGTTATCTTTGCTCCCTACTCCCAAAAGGGTAGCTTGTTTGAGGATGGGTTGTCAGGCCCCAAGTTAGAAAGCTGTGACTCAGTTAAAATCACAGAGAGGCTCCCGCTCCAACTCATCCTTGTGCCCCCAGGTCAGCCATTGCGGCAGGACTCCACGGCTACAATGGGGTGCTTGTGGGGCTCCTGATGGCCGTGTTCTCGGACAAGGGCAACTATTACTGGTGGCTGCTGCTCCCCGTCATTGTTATGTCCATGACTTGGTAAGTTTGCTTCTAAAATTCCTGTGTGTGTGTGTGTGTGTGTGTGTGTGTGTGTGTGTGTGTGTGTGTGTATACACACATGCATTCAGGTTTGTGTACCTGTATGTCCAGGGTGGAAGCCAGAGGCTGACTTCAGGTGTCCTTCCCTGTTACTCTCCACCTCATTTTCTGAGAAAAGGTCTCTCACTGAATGTGGCCACTGTTTTGGTGAGGCTAGCTGGCCAGTAAGATCCAGAGTTTCACCTGTCTCCTCCCACAGCACTGGGGTTGTAGACACATGCTGCCATGCCCAGCTTTTGACCTGGGTGCTGGGAATTGAACTCAGGTCCTAATGTTTGAGCAGCAAGCACTTTACCCGCCACATCATCTCCCTGTCCCAGTCAATATCTTTTTTAACCCAGCCCTTTGACCGCCATTTTTACCACGTTTTAAAGTATTTATCATTTAGCTTGAGTGTCGTCGGGAGCACCCACTAGAGGCGGTTGCTAAGGAATGGGGAATGTCGTGCCAGATCATCTGCGTGTGGTGCCTCATGAGCTGCCATCCTTTCCCTGAGATCTCAAAGGGCTTCTGGTCCTGCCCTGGCTGCATACAAAGCAAGAAACCCCTGGCCACATAAGCTAAGAGCTGCACAGGGTCCTGCCAGTGTCTGGAAATATCATCCCTCCTGCTCCCACAAGATTTTTCTCCATCCCTTAGACTGCTGACCAGACTGAGACAACCTCACAGGGTAGACTGAAGTCCAGCCATGAAGCAGAGACCACCACGTGCCAGACTTCTCCCTCATTTCCAGAAAATCAAGGGTAGTCTGCCCATGAAGTCAGAGCTCTTGGCCACTCAAAATTATTAATGGCTGTAATTCCCTCCCTTTCTTCTTCTGACCCTCCCTCTTGCCTAGGGGATAGAGTTCTATGACTCTGAGGAAGTCCCAAGGATCTCCTGAAGTCCTCCTTCTGAGGTTGAATGTGAGCCTTCCCCAGTCTCTATGCCCCGCTCAAGAAAGAAACCCAAGGAAAGGCAGACAGGAAGCTGCTTTTCTCTGGGTAAACCAGGGCTCTCTGCCGCAGTGTGGTCTAGTTCCAAGGCCAGCAGCATCTGACAGGTCTCTCATGTTTCTCCCACCAGTCCCGTCCTTTCCAGTGCCCTGAGCACCGTCTTCAGCAAGTGGGACCTCCCCGTCTTCACCCTGCCCTTCAACATTGCCGTGACCCTGTACCTGGCAGCCACGGGCCACTACAACCTCTTCTTCCCCACGACGCTGCTGCAGCCTGCAACCGCCACCCCCAACATCACCTGGTCAAACGTCCAAGTGCCTTTGGTAGGTGCCATGAAAGATGGACGGGCGGTGGTGGCACACACCTTTAATCCTGGCACTCAGGAGGCAGAGGCAGGCGGATCTCTGAGTTCGAGGCCAGCCTGGTCTACAGAGCGAGATCCAGGGCAGGCACCAAAACTACACAGAGGAACCCTATCTCGAAAAATAAAAAATAAAATAAAATCACCTGGAAAGAAGGGAGGAAGGGCAGTAGTTGTACAAATTCAATGCCAAACTGAATATACTTGTTTTGCACATCAGAAACAAAAGTGAAGGATGGCTATTCACAATTACACAGTACAAGGTGTTCTGCATACGTATCCTGTGAGCTCCTGTCCTTGTCTCCTAAGAGCTAGAAGGTTTGTTTGTGGCCCCACCCTCTGATAACACAGAGGAAGAAACCAAAGCCAAATTAAAAAAAACCCACCCAAGGCTCCACAGTGAATTAATGGAGAGCCAAGTCCAGGCTAGAACTCTACTCCCGATATGTGCCCTGGACTCTTTGCTGCTTTCCTTTGTTTGGAAGCCTTTTTGACACTTAAGCCCAGTTTTAACATACTCATACCGTGTGTTTTCTTTCATTCATCACATGGAATCATTAAAGTATATAGACCACGCCACTACCCATCAGCCTAAGCAATTGTAGCCTAGCCCATTCTCTTGGTGAGCCTGGCTCGTATTTTGAAGCACAGGTTTGCCTCCATTCAGAAACAGAGGTAGCAGAGATTTTCATCTTTTTAAAGTGTTTTATGTATAATACTGACCTCTGGAAGCCTGCCAAGACAGTGAATAAGAAGCAATATTAAAAGTATTAAACAAGATGGGAAAATGTGGCCATTAGGCTTCTTGACTAACTAGGCTCTTTTTTTTTCTAAGACCTCCTACTTTCCATCACACTACAGGACTTCCTGTTCCAGTTTATAGCTCAACCTGGAACTTCATTATTGGTGATTCATTGCCACAAAGCCATTGGGCTTATTAAAGGAAGTTTCAGAAATGATGACGCCCAGTGCCTCTCAGCACTTCATAGTGTCATTGACAGAGTCCTGAAAATACACTGAGAGGCATCATTATTCAGAAAAGACATTATTCTGTCAGCCTTATCCTTGGTCATTGTCATGGACGGTGGGGGAGGGGGCAGCATTCGTGGGCCAGAGGTGAGAAAAGAGGCTGAGTTGGTGATTCACTCTCAGGAGTTTCCCGGCTCATGGGGTTTACCCAGTCCCTATCTTTTGGAGCCAAAATTGTTCTACTCAGTATGCTATGAAAAGATAATGTTAGAAATCATAAGATACGGTTCACTGTATTCTCAATGAGAAATATTTCAGACTTTTCTAGAAATGAAATATTTTTTAATAATCCTATACAAATAGTTTAGACCACCACCACCCCAACGATTCAGAAAAAAAAAATCAATTTTGGGCAGTCATTCTTGAAGAAATAACTTTCTGGACTATGATAAGAATTCGTGTGTCGGGTCTTCCAATTAAAACGTGTACTTTGTGCTTCAAGAAAATGAGCAATGGATGTCAGAAAGAGTCTAGAGACCCTAGCAGTGTACAGTGACCACTGAGGGGTCCCAGAGGGGACAAGCAGGGGTAGATTAAACAGCCATGTGTCATTCTCTAAATATACTCTCATGCCTTACCCCAGCAGGCCAAGGTTGAGCCCTACTCTGTTCCCTATCCTGGGGGAGATTGGGCTCACCAGAGGGCCTGTCCTCCTCTCTGCACAGCAGCTCACTGTCAGCCTTCTCGGGACCTTTGGGGACATGCAGGATGGCCTGAGACAGTTTCCAGACCGGTCTGCCACTGCCAGGCCCTTCCATAGATCCCAAACTCCACCTGCTCGCCAGACAGGACTATCACCACAGCCAGACATGTACATCTTGGAAGCACAAAGGACCATTTCCCTCCTAATGGTCTCTTATCATCTTGTTTCTAAAAATATGAGAGTTTTATCAGGAATATGTTATATTTCCAACAGGCAATAAATGCCCTTCTAAAAATTCTATCGTTCTACAGCTTCTGAGAGCCATCCCAGTTGGAATCGGCCAAGTGTACGGCTGTGACAACCCCTGGACTGGAGGCATCTTCCTCATCGCTCTGTTCATATCTTCACCCCTCATCTGCTTGCACGCGGCCATTGGGTCCACCATAGGGATGCTAGCAGGTCTGTACCGCCACCCTTAGTGCCATCCTCTTTAATGAGCTGGAGGGATGTTAGTGCTTGGGGCCAGCTGCAAAGGAAGATTGTGACCCATCTTTAACATCACGCCTGCCTTCTCTTCTCCCCACACCCGTTTTTGGCATTTTTTGGTGCTAGTGCCCTAGTGTTCCTGTGAGCAAAAGCTATCCTCAGAAAAGACCTTGGCATCAGACATTTAACCCTCAGTATAAATTGAAAGTCTGGAAGAGCTTTTTCCAAGAATACTTAAGAGTGGTCTCCAATGACGAAAAACGGGGCTCTGTTCAGAGCCAAGGTGTTTTTGTTTTGTTTTTTGTTTTGTTTGTCTGGTTTTTGTTTTGTTTTACATGTGTGGCAAAGGACAGTCTCTGCACCGTTTAAATCAGAACTCAGAGTTCTTGCTCCAAGGGTCTCTCCCACTCCTAACAGCTTAGCCACGAGTGTTCTTGTGGTCCCGTCCATGTATCTCCTTAACATGTATCTTCACTGGATAAAACTGAAATTCCTTTTGGTGAATACCTGCCTCTGATCCCGGTAACTGATTCTGGCTGGAAGACTGGGGTGAGTTTCAGGAAGGCAGGTCTGTAAGCCCCGCCCCCCGACACTCAATACCGCCGCCTTCCTTCCCTCAGCACTCAGCATCGCCACGCCCTTTGACTCCATCTACTTTGGCCTGTGTGGCTTCAACAGCACTCTGGCCTGCATCGCCATCGGGGGCATGTTCTACGTCATCACCTGGCAGACCCACCTGCTCGCCATCGCCTGTGGTAGGTACCGCTCACAGACGACCCTCCCGACCACACAGACGACCTGAGTAGACCCCTGCCAAGAAAACCACTCATGACGGTTCCGCCACTCCCAACAGATGGCAGGGCAACTGTTTGCTTTATAAAAGCTTGTGGGTGGCACTGTCCTCTGTGCCTTCAGCTGTGTTCGCTGTGTACGTGATGCTTGGCCACTGAGGGGGTGTTCTTAGATGATAATTTCTCACTGTTGCCCCGGGGCTGTCTCCCGGGATTGCAGGTCTCCTGGCCAGTGAAGGAGCTGAGTGAGCAGCTCCCTGACATTAACTCTTACATGTAGAACTGGGCAACACACGCCACGCACAGTGACTGGAGCTAACTATCAAGCTTTGACTGTACACCCTTCAGATGACCGGACACCTCTTGCATATTTGTTCAGCATCACAGGAAGTTAGGATGACAGTCATAACTCATCAGATTTATACATTCTCAACCTTGAACATCTTTCATGGTCTACGAATGGGAACAAAATAAAAAACCCCTTTGGCCAAAATATTTAGAACCGAGTTTCTATTTCAGTACAGCCATGGATGCTGAAATGTTACCAAATAAGGTTTTTAAAAAACAAGTTTACAATAAAAAAAATTCCAGAATATTTTTTCTGATATAAAAAAGCTTTCTGAACCATATATAGTCATATATGTGTTTCTTTAAGATTGTGTGAAAACCCATTTTTTTAAGTTTATAACCACCACTGCAAAGGTGGGGGGATGTGTTCTAAACTAGATGTGGAGGATAAAGCTGAAGCTTTTCTATCTTCTTAAAAATTGCTTTATGCTACACCAAAAATATCAATATAGGGTTGACATGCTCTAGCTACTTACATAGCTGTCATGCCAACCGAACAAAGGTAGCTGTTTACACAGTACTTACCTGAAGTGTCCAAGTCAACACTTCATCTCCTTCTGTCCCCCAAAGTCTTTACTGTTACTCTGCTTTGCAAGGGACGTGCCCAAGAGTGAGGACAGGACAGGGGGACAGAGGTGGGGCGGCTTGGATGGTGCCCAAGGTCAGGGTCATGCAGGTGATGACTGACAAATCGCAGGTGGCCCCCTCACTGTCCCCAGTGCCAATCTTGTCAAAGAGGTTAAGTAGCTCTGTGTCATACGTGGCCCAGTGTTTCTCAGCCAGGGATATGTATCAGTGTCTAATGACACTTTTACTTGTCAGACCTAAGGGAAAAATGGAAGTGCTCTGAACATTTTGTCTGGGGTAGTATCAAACACCCCACAGCTCACAGGACAGGACAGACCCACAGCAGATTGTCACAGGTGCCACAGGGGCGAAACACGATCCATGGTTTCTCCTTTACACCCCCACTACCACCCTGCAGCTTGCGGATACTGTTCCTGTCCCCATTTCACAGATGGGAAACCAAAGCTGAAATGAAAAAATGAATTACCCAGCTAGGTTTGTAGAAATGTGCTCTGCAGGGCACCCACGCTTTCCTGTAGCCACTTCTCCCTCTTCAGGCAAAAGGCCCAGAGAAGTAAAGCCTGTTTGTGTAAGTACACAGCCAGTGATGGATTAGCCGGGCAAGGGGGAAGCGCCTCCCACCGCGGTCTATTCTGTGTGTCTCCCAGGACAGATTACCCGCTCCCCACCATCCTGACAGGCTACGTTCTCTGATGCTTCTCTTTCATGGACTGTTCAGGCTCAGCCCTGTTCTACAGTTCTGGGACCACACATGAGCACACACCAGGCTTTGGAGAGGTCTTCTTCATATAACAGATCAAGTTTGACTAAATAAGATAGCGATGGAGCCAAGGGAGCATAGGCTTTAATCCTTCGGCTGTCACCCCCAGGGATGGCCGGACAATCCAGTAGGACTGAGACCCTGCTCTTCACAGACCAAGCCTAGAGCTGTCCTGTGGATCTTACATCCTGTCTACATTCTGGAGTGTCTGTGGCACTTGGATTGGTTCCTCTCCTCTCATCTAGCTGGTCAGGGCTCTGCCACTGTCAGACATACAATCCTCAGAAATCACCTCATATTTTGACAGCTGACACAGTGCTCACTTTGTAGAATTGGTGTCAAGATGAGTGATTGATGCAAGAACAGTACTAACCTGTAGGAAGCACCTGGAAGGTTCAGTTCTGGTTATCAGTAGTCAAGGAAAGGGTGTCCAAGTCTAAAGGGTATCCTCCTAAGAGGACTTGTTGTTTGTTGTGGGTGGTGGTGGTGGTGGTGGTGGTGGTGTGTGTGTGATCAAGACAATAATAATACAGCTTACCTATAAGGAATGCTGAAGGATGTGGTTAGTGTTGCCACTGCCTAGACATAGTAACTCTAATAAAGATTAGCTATCATTAATATTTTAGGGACAATTGGGATGCCCTCCTTGGAGAATGGGCCCAAAAGCAAAGCCCAATCATGTTGGCCTGTTTTATTGCCTTCCATCTTCTGCCAGTGCACGGTTCTCCTCAGCATCCAACTTATTCATGGCCTTCTTTGCCCAGCCTAAAACAAGGCAGTAGGTGGTTTGGTCTCCCCCAAACTCATAGGATGCTGTTTCTCCCTAGAAACCCGTGTTATGCTAATAGCTCCTGATGGAATATTCCACTGGAGAGTTCTGAGACTCCCTTGCTTTTGCTTTATTGTAAAACCTTCATTTATGGTTTATGCTATTAAATGTTCCTTTACTGGAAAGCGTGGTGGTGGGACCCAAGAGAACTGTCACAGCTAAATCCTGGCCCTTTTTAACAAAGTTCATCTGCTATCTTAGCTGCGCTGGCATTTTCGTGGAATTTAACACTTTTAAAGCTGCAAGGCAATGAAAATGCAGCTCAGTGTGGGTGAGAGAGAGCATTTGAGACAGAGAATTAATGAAGAGGGAGTATGCAGACTACACTGAGCTGCTGTTGAATCTTTACTGAGCTGTCTACGGTTGGTTCTTTTCTAGCACTGTTTGCTGCCTACCTTGGTGCCGCCCTGGCTAACGTGCTGTCCGTGGTAAGTCACGTGGGCTATAAGCCACATGCCCCCCTCCACTTCCCAAACACTCCAGCAAACCCCTGTGCCCTTTGACTCACATCCTGATACCCACCTTAATACCGACAGGAAGGAACTATGTCTCAAAGGCTTATATGTCAACTTTGGGTGGATCAAACCGTCACCAGTGGCTGATAGAGTACTTTAAAGAATAAATCTTTCAGATATAATTCCATTATAGTCTGCCATTTTATAGAACTAATTTTGAGTCTCTATCATTTAACTTGTATATATATGTGTGTGTGTGTGTGTGTGTGTGTGTGTGTGTGTGTGTGTGTGTGTATTATCTGTCCACCTGGGTTGTAGACAGTGAACATCTTTATCCCATAGCAACTATCATGTTCATGGAGAAGGCTTCACGTTCACTGGGCATGGCTTCAGGGAACAGAGAGAGCTGTGATGTCGTCATTCAAAGAGAAGCCCGAGCTCAAGAGTGTATGAGCACACATGGCCCCAGAACCTCTTCTCTGCCTTGGGCCCAGTTTAGGGTGGTGTGCAAAGTAGCAGCTGCCACTTGGCTCCAACAGGCCCTGCACAGAGTGCTCAGGGCTTACCTAACAAATCAATGTGTCCAACTCCACCTAAGATAAGAGTACAAGGGAAACTTCTCATAGACAGGTGTTGCTCAGCTTGGGGTCGTGGTCTGTACCACCCATTCTTGAGAGGCGAATTTAAAACAGCCAAATTAGTAGTAAAAAGCAGGAAAAGGAAAGGTCTTCAGTGTGGCCATAATGGGGAGAGGGAAAACAGATCCGGTGACGCTCCCTCGGGTCCACTTTTGGTGGTCCTGAAGAGAGATGAGAGTTTAAACAGAGGACGAGCAGTATACACATCTAAGTTGTCCCAGGTAAGGTGTGGCTCTCCCAACTATTGACCCTTCACTGTGTGGGCTTTAGCCTCCTCCTGTAAGGTGGTCTAACAAGTTGTAAATCTCTTTCCTGAAGACAAGACACCACCCCCATCCCCAGGCCCGGCACTGTTTCCAGCATGAGAGACTTGGGGAAATTTCCATTTCTTGAGGTCCATTCTTTCAATATCCCAGTAGATTGGGAGACATAAGTGTCTTCTTCATTAGAATACATTCAGTTCTGCCAGGCCAGTTACACAAAGAGCAAATGTCATAGCTCCAACATCTGAAAATGGAGTCGATATTCCATACAGCACCTGTCTAGATTCATCCTTCACCTGCAGCCAAAGAGAGGGTGGTACTTAGCATAGGAAACTTCTTCCTAAGCAGCCAAATTAGCTTTTCCTGACACCACGCTATCTCTCCCAGTAGACTGAGTCCCTCCTCCGCTTCCCATCACCTGCTGGGTGTGCCTTCTCTACAGCACTTGACATACAACATCTGCAACACCTTTAGTACTCATAAGTCCACTTTCGGCTTAGCCCAAGCTCCTCCATCTCCGTATCTTAACCTTAGAGTTTTACTGAAGGAAACAAGGAAGAAATAGTGAGGGGACAAAGCCCCGAAGGAGTGAGCACACACAGCAGGGAAAGCTGGAACTGGCCGAGGAGGCCTCAGAATGCTGACTGGAGACAAGAAGATGGATTCTGACTTCGCAGAGCCTCATCCACCCCAGGCTTCTGCCATCAGTTCTGGCACCAACAATTCACCTGATCCATCTTTCAATGAATGTGACAAGTGCCTGCCTCGGACAAGGCACTAGAAGAGATGCAGGAGGCTTTGGTTCCCAGACCTAGATGTGCACAGTGCTAAATGGTCTTCCTCTGGGTACTGGGAGGTTATAGATTAAGCCATTCCATGCAGACATTTTTCCAAATAAAATAAAGTATACTTGTTATGGTGATGATTGTCAAGGATTAAAAAAAAAAAGACTATCAACTTACTCAGGAGAAATCTCCAACTTCATTGAGGAGCACAGTATGAAAGCATTGGACTACATTTATAAAACCATTCAATGCCTCCTCAGAAAGGCCCTGTGAGCCATTATTCTTTGCCTTTCTAACCAGAATATGTGTATGCAAGTCCTGGCCTTCAACAATGCTGCTATCTGCTTGATAATGATGACCGTGCCCTGAGGGCCATTTATTGGGTACTTGGCATGCGCTAAGCAACAGCTCTCTGAGCAGGCAGCAGTACACTATTGAGGGAAAAGGTCTCAGAAAGATTAAAAAAACATAACGGGGTAATCAGAGCTAAGGTTTGTCTACTGTGGAGCATCAGTGGATGCTTCCCAAAACACTTTATTGCGTCTTATTGGAGCTTTGGGAAGATGTGTTGAGTGGAATCCATCACTCATGGATGTGTATCCCTCACAGCCTCGGTCTGGTATGATTCTGGCGCTTCCAAGTCTTGCTAACAGTGTGGTCTTCAGACTTCCACATGACCAGCAGTGTTACCCCTGTGGTGGTACTACCTGAGGCTTCTATCGGTTATAGTAAAATGCTTGGAGGATGGAAGGATAATTCGATCTGCCTCACAGCTGAATTTATAGGCTCTTTGTAAACCATTCACTCGGCTACCTCAGCTGAAGAACGGGGGGAAGTATTAAAATGTTGCAGGGCATCACAGGGAATAACAAGCCAGGTCAATGTGATGAGAAATGAATGTGATGGTGGGTAAACCCTTGAGAAGAGAGGTAGCTAACTTTTACCTCCAGCCCCAAGGACAGACCTACCACTCCTCTGCTTCTCTCCCTGTGTGCTCATTTTCTGTGTCTCTTTGCAAAAGGTTTCTGCTTCACACAGTTTCTAAATGCCCATCTACTTACTACCGCTTGCCCTTTCAGAGCAAGAGCCCTATTAATACTGTCTCAGTGCCTTTCAATTCACATTCTCAAAATAGGGAATCTGTTGACTCACGCCATATGCCTATTCTGAATCTAGTGCCTGTCTCTAGGCCAATCAACTACAACTAGGTCTTTAGCTACAAAATGAATGCCAAATGCATCCTTTCAAAGGAAGCTGATTGAAGAAGGCATAGAATGCCCATAGTTCCTGTAGCTGGAAGTATAGACTGGCCAGGTTCCCCAAGACAAAACAAGTCTTGTACATAAAAACACATTAACTCCTATTAGAGTTCCAAAGGCTGTATTTTGGAAGGTGTGTGCTTGACCTGTCACAGAATAAACTGATGGCCTGATTTTATTTATGCTGGCTATCAGCTAAGTACTACCCTCACCAATCAGCCCTTCCTCTAACTGATAAAGGTTATTTAAACAAGCATTCACATCTGATGGAACATGAATTTCTCTTATCTCCTCTCCCTCCAGTTTGGATTACCACCCTGCACCTGGCCCTTCTGCCTCTCAGCGCTCACCTTTCTCCTTTTGACAACCAACAATCCTGCCATCTACAAGCTCCCGCTCAGCAAAGTCACCTACCCAGAGGCCAACCGCATCTACTTCCTGTCCCAGGAGAAAAACAGAAGGGCATCGACAATAACAAAGTACCAGGCCTACGACGTCTCCTAAGCTGCCCTTTCTAAGGCATGCCATGTAAATGCAGCCTCCAGCAACGGTCTGCAGCCCAGGCTAAAGTCCACTTACCCTCCTTTCTGTCCAATATGCATGTATTCACCAGTTGGGACACACAACCACACACCCACTAAGATGCACAGAACTCATCAAAGCCATGTTAGTTTAGACTAAATACCCACTGATGGCTCTTTGGGAACTTCCTCTGGGAGGAACTTGCCACTCACTCCTTTCAGTTATTTAGTGGAGCAAAGCATGATGCCAGGAAATGTTGATTAGCCTTCAAGGCTAGAGGGCCTGGTTCCTACCCTGCTCTACCACTAATGAGGTCTGACTGCCTCAGTCAGCTCTCATCCCATCTCAGCTGGTTTTCTTGTCACCAGGGATTTCTTTAGGACAAAGAGGGACACCAGAGTCCTTCTACCTGCAAAACGTTTATTCTTTTCCATCTCCAGTAAACTAATCAACTCAGCATAAGCAGCAAGGAATTGTCCTGAGCTGACTTACTTATGGGAGGGCTCCCAGAGGAGAGAGAAACAAGTGTTAATGTTGTGGAAGTTTATTCTTGGGCATGGGAGATGCTCTCCAGACATGGGGCTAGTAACCTGAATTCATTGAAAATGCCAGTGTACCATCTTTGCACCATTGAAATATTTCCAGAAGCAACATAAAGTTAAAAAAAATGATTTTTCCAACATCCAAATCAGTGTAAACAAACATCTTTTGCTTGTGTAATATTCAAAATCATACTCTCATTAAACTTGAAATTTGCAAGTTGGTATCTGGGTTTTCTTAAACTAGAACTTACCTGCATGCGCATATAGAGTACCCTTGGGAAGTTTTCATACTCAAATGTGTGTCTGGAAAGAGGAGATGGGGGTAAGAATGATCAGAAGAGAAGTCGATTATCTTGTGGAGAGTTATGCAGAAATGGCCATACACACTGCTTCCTGTGGTGCGGGTACAGATTGACAACACCCATCACTTTTCAGCATACAGACAGTCTTTTAGCCTTATGCACCAAGATTGGTAACCCAGCCCTGCTTAAGTGGCCAATCACTTGTTATTCTGAGTGTGGTTCCTACCATGCACCTGAGTTATGGTCATCCTTCATAGGAAGCCACTTGGCCCAGCATTCCAGCCCTTCTCCAGAGATGAACCTCTTCTAACACCAGTGATATAAGACCTCTGTTAATATTCTGATCCGTCCCACATTGGGTGCCAATGTTATGAATTATAATGCGGGGGGGCAGGGGGCACAGGACCTGAAGGAAACATGCTGAGCAGATGCAGTGGCAGACTGGGCAGATGCACATCATGCAGTCATGGTGGTGGCGGTAGAGGCCAGTAATTCACAACCCAGATGCTGCATCCACGTGGAAAGTTTATTATAATAGATGAAGGAAAGAGATGATAGGAAAGAGAGAGAGAGAGAGAGAAATAGAGATCGAGGGTATACACCTGGTGGGAGGAAAAGCAGAAGAGAGAGAGAGGAAAGGGAGGAGTTTTTTTTCTTAGAATGAGGCTTTTACATCAGGATGCAGGGCAGCACCAATGGGTGGGATTTCAAGGGGCAGATCAAAATATTAACATTACCTTCTCTCTCTCTCTCTCTCTCTCTCTCTCTCTCTCTCTCTCTCTGTGTGTGTGTGTGTGTGTGTGTGTGTGTGTGTGTGTGTGTGTGTCTGTCTGTCTGTCTGTCTGTCTGTCTGTCTGTCTTTCTGTCTCTCTCTCTATTCTCCTCCTCCTCCTTCTTCTTCTCCTTCGTGGTGGTATTATGTTTCCCAAAATACTGTGTACCCTAATAAACTTATCTGGGGTCAGAGAACAGAAAAGCCACTAGATACTTAGGATAGGCAGTGGTAGCACACGCCTTTAATCCTAGCATTCCAGAGGCAGAAACCCATCTGTTCAAGGATACAGCCAAGCATGGTGACTCACACCTTTAATCCCAGAAAGTGAGCCTTTAATCCCAGGGAGTGATGGTAGAAAGCAGAAAGGTATATAAGGCGTGAGGACCAGAAACTAGAAGCATTTGGCTGGTTAAGCATTCAGGCTTTGGAGCAGCACAGTTCAGCTGAGATTCATTCTGGATGAGGACACAGAGGCTTCCAGTCTACCGAAACAGGACCAGCTGAAGAATTGGTGAGGTGAGGTAGCTGTGGCTTGTTCTTTCTCTCTCTGATCTTCCAGCATTCACCCCAATAACTGGCCTCAGGTTTGATTTTATTAATAAGAACTTTAAAGATTCATGCTACACTTCTCTCTTTCTGTTTCATCATCTCTTCTTCTCTTTATTATAATAAACTCTAAACGTGGATGCAGAGTCTGAGATGTGAATTACTGGCTGCCGCCACCATGCCCGCATGGCATGCATCTGTCCAGCCTGCCGCTGCATCTGCCCAGCATGTTTCCCTCAGGGGTCCCCCTGCATGATAATTCATAACAACCTGGACACACACATTTTTGGTTCAGCGGGGTGAGGTGCTGAGATAACCAGGGGTCAGGGGCTGGGGAGACGGCTCCGTCAGCAAAGTGCTTGCTGCACAAGCATCAGGTATAAAAAGCTGGGCCTGATGGCATGCACCTGCAACCCTCGCTCTGGGCAGGCAGAGTCGGGCAGATTCCTAGAGCTGGAGGTCTAACTGGTCTTGACAAATTGGTGAGCTCCAGATTCAGCATAGAATGATAAAGAAAGGCACCCAACTTCAACCTCTGGCCTCCACGTGCACCCCCACACACACACACACACCCATGTAAATATACATGCATACATTGGGGAAGACATTTAGGTGAAAGTGAGAAAACAGACACAAATGCAGGAGTAAGGAAGAACTACATTTTACCAAAATCCACTTTAAAAAAAAAAAGAGCTAGCTTCTATATCTATATTTTCATTGTGCTGTATGCCAGAGATCCCAGCCATCTTTTGCCACCAGCCCAAGAGCACTGAGATGTACATTTCCCTTCCAGACCCCATCCAGCCCTTTATGACTTTTCCAGGAAAACAGAGGGCTTCTCCAAGCCGAAAAGTCCTCCACGAAGGAAAAGGAAATGACTCACACTCCAGAGCTACCTCTGAGTTTGTGATCACACCTTGAGGCCAAGAAGGTCTCAGGCTGTATTTTAATGACCGTGGAGTTACAGTTCTCTAAGGATCAAGCATTCAGGAATTTCACCCAAAGGCTGTTTATGCTCGAAGCTCACTCAGCTGCCCCTCAACCGCCACGTGATGATGTCTAACCATTAAAGAATGGGTCCCTGTGTGTTTCCACCAAAGTTTTATAATCTGATTTTAATAAGAGTAGGAACCGCTCCATGCATATGCCATGCTGATGACTGACCACTAATAAAATCCTTCAGCTGTTCTGGGTATTTCGCTAGCCTCACCTATAAAGCAAGCTGAGTTGGCCCAGAATCCCAAGCAAGGTGGAAACAGATGAGGTGAAAGGACTCCTATGAAAATATACAAGGTCTACGGCATCCCAAAGTGGCCAGTCAAGTCTGGCACTTCAGTTAAGCATGAGCAGTAGAGAGCTGGAGCCAGCTTCACCGACTCCAGAGAGACAGTTGTGCAAATGAGCACATCCTTCTCCAAGCCATTCAACAGCGTCATCCTGAGCACTTGAAAGCAGTCCTGGTCAAGGTTTTAAAGCAAGACAAATGGCAAATCCTACAAGTCTGAGCACACACACAAAGCAATGCCATTCACTTGTAAGCGCGTGAACAAACAAAACAGCATACTGGAATATGGGAGAGGAAACAGAGTAAGGTATAGGAATAAAAAATATGCATGCCTTCGTTCATTCATGAGAAAGTCCCTGCATGAACGACAGGGTTGATTTGCCCAGGGCTAAGGCGCAAGTCTCTCAGGGGAAAAAAAATTACTTGGGGCAGACACTGTTATTTTTGTTGTTTGTCTCTGTGATTCCTTAAACTAGCCTGTTGGAGTTGTGTAGTAGCTCTGAGTTGTTATTGAAAATTGACTAACACACATCTCCACTGCCTTGCCTTTGGCAGCATCCATTTACCTGTCCTGGATAGGATTTGAACTCTGTTCCACACACAACAAACTCTTCTGTGCACACACCAGACCTTCCAGCAATCCAGCCTATTGACTCGCACTTCCAGAATGTACTGCCCGGATCTTCCTCCCAACACTTACGTGTGGTGTTGAGGGAACAACCTGCAGAACCGTCCGTACCAGCTACCCCAAGCCTGTCATCAGTTTATGACCAACAGCTGTGAGCCCCTGCACAGCATTCCACCACCACCCTTTCCCTACAGATCCCCACGGCGTGGTGTGGCTCAGTGGTAGAGTACATGCTTCCCTTACAGCTCCTCCATACCCTGGACCCCAAGTCATATGACAGTCTCAGGAGAGACAGGTGGGTGGTATATCGGGGCCAGTTGGAGTCCAGTGTGTGTTGGAATTGTTGGAACTGCATACTTAAATCCTAGGCAGCCTCCCAGGATTTAACATGGTGGTAGAAGTGTGGGAATGGGTCTCTCTACTAAGTTCTCAGGTCATGGATGCCGTGGACCTGGAGTCACACTTTGAGAAACTCTCATGTAGATTTACAAATGAGATGCTGCCTCCAAGAAACCCTTTCCCTTTCTGATGCACACTGTGATGTATTGATGCACGCTGTTGTGCACATAGGAATTATCTGGGGAGCTTCCTAAAAATATAGACCCCTGAGCCTCTGCCCAAAGATTCGGGATCAGCAAATCCAGGTGAAGCCAAGAATCTGAACTTTTCTATAAACTCTTGAATGATATGAATTGTCATTTGAGATCCCTGCATAGGTTTTATTAGATACATTTTAGCATCATCCAGTTCCGATGGACAAGATTTGTCCTGGACGAGCAGTAGGCATCAGCACAGCTGTGTTTCTAAAGCTCCCGGGGTGTGCTCCTGTGTGCACCCAGGCTGGAAAGCAAAGGTGGGTTCCGGTTTTCCTGGGCCCTAATCTGCTTCTGAAAGAATCGCTCCTGGAGACTGTTAAGAACCTCGGTTCTCGTCCTCATGAGACAGAGTGAGGAACAGAAACACTGGGTACCAACAGGCAGGAGGAAGTGAGAAACTTCCAGAATGAAGTCTCTTCCTCAGTAATAATAGTTGGGGGCTAGCTCTGAACTCTAACGGAAACCAAAGAAAAATGAAACCACTAACCAGAAACATCCGGCCCAAGAAGGCAAACAGAGAAGCAAAGTTTTGCATTTGGCCCCAGGAGTCTGCTGAGCATGCCCATTGGCCCCAGAGGAAAAGTACGGGAGTGGGGTAGTCAGCAGCCCCTCCAGCCACACTGCAGGGGCACAGCAGGAGCCAGGGGAGGACATGGCAGCCACTGAGACACAGCAGGTGCACCTGAGAGCAGGTAGGAATGGGGGGCTGTCCCGAGGGTGTGGCTAGAAGATAGGAGGGCTGTGGAGGTGGTGACAGCAGCTGCTATAGGCAAAGGAGCTCACCCTGTGGACACAAGCATGTAGGACGTCCCAAGCATGCAGGACGTCCCAAGCATGCAGGACGTCCCAAGCATGCAGGACGTCCCAAGCATGCAGGGGCACAGTTTGACATAAGAAGGAAAAGCCACGGTGAGAAGCAGAACACAGGAGACAGGGGAAAGAGCAAGAGCATTTGCCGCTGGGCTTGCAGGACCAGGACAGGAAAGGGGGTTGTTGTTAGGATGGAAGAGTGAAGGGGTGCCAGTCAGAGAGTGAGCTCCCTGGTTCACTGAGCTCCAACAGAGATGGGGGTGGGTCCCAATCCT